GCACTGTTGGTTCCTTCTAACGGATTCTTTCACATTTTCTCTTTTCAATGAGTGTGTGTGTGTGTGTAACAAGTGCCTTGTTTGGATAAGGGTAATTTTGTCTGACCACTAAGGGAAATTCGGTTTTTTCATCCCAAACTTTGTAAGATGTAATAAATTTACCCTCAACGTTTTTGCATCGTGATTCATCCCCTAACTTCCAATAACGTATCAAAACTCATCATTTGCTCCATTTTGGCAACTAAATGATGAATTTGCCCCTTTTCCTGAAATAAACAAAAATATAAGAAAGTACGCAAACAACCAAAAGTAATGAAAAATTTCAAGCGGAGTCTCGTAACTTTCGAAAAGTACACATAAATTTCACTTTAAAAAGTAAAATGCGTGTTAACACGAGAATTTTTTTGGAAAAACTCATATTCTCCATCCAAACCCACTCAAACACCCAACCTAGTCCATCCCTAATCGCAATGAAACACCACATCCACAAATACAATCACACAAAGGCCTTGCCACCACAAAAGCAAAGGCATTGTGGTGGCCGACGATATCAGAAAAGCTGCTTTCGAAGTGTCATGGGGAGTAAGTCGTTTGTGATCTAGGCTCATGACTCTGACCCGACACTATTAAAGAAGAAGAGCGATTTTAAGAGGCTTATTGCAAGAATTTAAGATGGGGTTTTGAGAATCTGACTAAATGAGGACGCTGGATACTCAATGAATCTGGTGCCTAAGAACCCAGAGGAGCAATTTAAGATTACATTCATGCATGGAAGAGAGTAAGGTACGAAGATTATTGAGATCCAGTAACTTTTAAAGATGGGAAAATAACCAGGATATCGAAAATGTCATTAGAGTTTACACAATTTTTGCTAGAAAGTTAGGAGAAGGTAAAGGAAGTAAAAAAAAGGATAAAGAGAATAGTCCGTTTTGGGTAAGGATACGAGTTATTTAAAGGAAAAATGTAGAAACCAGAGGGTTAAAATTTGGAAAGGTTCGAATTAAGGGAACATTAGATTTCCTGCATAATAGCAATTAGGCAGGTGGAAAATGTGCAGCACGCAGCATTAGTTGAAGGCAATGACAGTGGTGTGCATCATCAAAAGATACGAAGTGAAGCTTGATTGAAGCGCCACATGGTCAGAGGTGCAAGCCTGATGTCTCTTATCCTGCCCACAAAGGTCTTGAAATGTGTACCTGAACACCACTTGAACTATCCTTAGGGCAACTCCAATTTTTAACACCAAAACTCCATTATGGAACAATACTATTCACTTGCATTATTTTTCACCAAATTTAATAAAAGTCCTTTTTGCTCCCTTTTTTCATTTAGCACCAAATGATATCTACA